AAATAAAAAAAACAGCATTTTTTACCTCTCAAGCTATTTTTGAACAATATTTGATCTCTCGTGCAATTTTTGAACAAAATTTTAACAATTTCTAACACTATTTTATCTCTCCAGCAATTTTTATTAACATTTTTTTTCTTTCTAGCAATTTTTAAACAATGTTTTATCTCTCGAGAAATTTCTAACAGTATCTCTCGAGTCAATTTTGAACAATATTTTATTTCTCAACAAATTTTTCAATAGTAATTTATCCCTGTAGCAATTTTTGAACACGATTTTAACAATTTATAATACTATTTAATCTCTCGAACAATTTATAAATATTTTTTATCTCTCATTAAATTTCTAACAGTATTTTTATCCTTAGAGCAATTTTTTAACAACATTTTACCCCTCAAGCAATTTCAAATACTATTTTATCCATCGGCCAATTTTTAACACCCTTTTTTACCTCTCAAGCTTTTTTTGAACAATATTTGATCTCTCGTGCAATTTTTGAACAATGTTTTATCTCTCGAGAAATGTCTACTATTTTATTTCTGAAGCGAAGCAATTTTTAACAACTATTTTAATTTCTCTGGCAATTTTTGAACAATATATTTTACACTTCAAATGGAACATACGCTGAAAAAGTACTAGATTTTGCTTCGATTGTACTAGAGTACCAGATTCTCAGAGAATGTACTAGATCTAGTACAATTGTACTAGACTGGCAACACTGTTCGGGACACACTGAGAATGCAGTATGGGCAGGCATGAGAACTGTATTTTTAAAGGGGTAGCGTCACACTGTGTTGCCATCTTTCCGATAGATGTGACAGGGTCGGCCTAGTAGTAGTCAATGTTATTAAAGCATGTATTCTTGGTTGTTGCATATATGAAGAAGATCGTTTGTCCTTCTTGATGTCTAATTGGACGGCTTTCTGCAGAAAGGAAGCAACCCACAAATTTCTGATTTTTAGACGTTCGCATAATATTGCATTAAAAACCGTAACCTTTACTGCAAAAACAAAATCCAGGCCATATTCTTGTACTTAGCCAACAAACCAACCGATTAAATTGGTTAAGCAAGGAACCTGCCTGCAGAAGCAATCCAAGCGGCTTGGTTGCTTTCTGCATAATAGAGAAAAGAGTTGGTGACAGTTCGTTATTTGGTTCTCTGTGAGAGTGAATGTGAAGTATTAAAAATAGGAAAACGACTATTTTAGTGATACAATATGAATGATAATATTAGCATATCTCAAAGAATTTTTCTGATGACAAAAGCTATTGGATAAGAGAAGGAAAGTCCAAGCTTCGGTCAGTTAAACCGTGTATAAAGATAAAAGTAAGTTTTTTAAAAACACATATGATACTTCCTGATAAAAAAAAACAATTTTTAATGTTTCTAAAAAAAAAAATATTGAAATAGATATCAAAAAAACAAATGGGTCGTCCGGCATTATTTAAAGACTTGCTAATACCACTGGGGCTTGATGGAGAAAGTAAAATATCCAAAGATGGAGGACAAAAAAAATCTGTGATGCACATAATTCCGAACGATTGCCTGCAATTTTATGAACATATAAACGGCATGGAATAAAATACAAAGATAGAGAGAAGCCGACCCACAAATACCAAAAAATTTAATAAAATATATGCTTTTTTAAATATGTGATGCTAGCGTCACAATAGTCAGACGTTCAGCCGCCGATCTACACCAACGAAAATTGTGATTTTTAATATGATTTGTTATTTAGTCAATAACGATAAACTGAGTGTGACTGCAGCAGTTAGTCGTGCTTCCAGAATGAGTGGGGGTCAGTGAAACACAATATAAATATTATGAGGGTTTTAAGAGATTATTAAAAGAAATTGTGCACAATTGTTTTTTTTTTAACAGTTCACCAACTTTGAATGAACGCCGACTATGTTAAACAATGGTTTGAGAAGTCCTAACTTACCCAAAAATGGGCGAAAGAAAGTTGTTGTTATTGATAACGCATCGAATCATTCGCGTAAATTTAGTTTTTCAGCTACCTCATGGAACAAACCCGAAATAACACATTGGCTGTTTGAAAAAAAATATATATATATTTGACGATGCCTATTTAAAATCTGAAATGCTTGAAGTTGCCAACGCATACAGAGAGCAATACGACAAATAAAAGATTGAAAAATAGTTGCAAAATGCGGGGTAACTGTTTTACGCTTATCATCGTATCATTGCGAGATTAATACGATCCAGATGGTATGGAATCAGGTAAAGCACTATATTGCTGTGAACAACTTTGATTTTAAGACACAGGATGATCGTTCATTAATAGATGAAGCAAATGAACATGTCACCGAAAAAAATGGCATAATTGCGTTGGACTTGTCAGAGAAATAATGGCAAATGAAATGTTGGTGGCTGACAAAACAACGTTGATGAACTTATTATAAGAGTAAATTTTGTAAACGATGACTTACAATGACTTATCTAATGCGTAAAATTTGTTTTTCTACACCCGTATTATAATAATGCACTTATATGCCCATAATCCGTTTCATAATGATACCCATTATGATACAGATTTTTCATTACGATACAGATTTTTAATCAATAGAAACCTACAATTTTTCAATCAAGCATGCTGTTTGACGTTTGTCCTAGGTTCCTATGTAATTATTTTAGTTGTCAAAACGTATTAAATTTTCGTAGGTAGCTAAACTTCGATAATTATAATATTAAAATGTCTGATATTAGCGATATAGAAGACTCCTCCACACATATCGGAGAAAGCAGAAAATACAGTACAAAATATTTTACCGCAAAAATCTAGGGAAATACCAATACCTGAAGTAATACCATTAATTACAATTTTGTAGAATTTTTTATAGAAATACGAGTAATTACTGTTATTGTGTTCAATACCAATATAAATATAATATTTATAGGTCTTGATTATTTATCGGGTGTAGAAAAAATAGCGTATGCAACTCTCATGTAATGGTTATTAAAACACTCGCATAAACCATACGAAACTCGCCTTTGGCTCGTTTCGTATCCCGGTTAATGCTCGTGTATTAATAACCATCATTACATGATCGTTGCATAATATACTATTATTTGTTAATTTTAAAATTTATTGTTTTTTATTTATTAATGGCTGGACCTGTTTTTTTTGCTGGTCCCAGCATAGCGACCACTGGCAACGGCGCGCTTCATAAAACTTTATACTGCATTCTCAGTGTGTCTTGCACTATAATTACTTTCCTATATTCATACATTTCTAAAATTAGTCAGACACCGCTACCCAAATAAAAGAAAATAATTTTGATAAAACTTGTAAAGCTATAAATTATCAAACAGGTTTAATCTTACACCCTTATACCGTAATATTGCATAAACGATGCACTTTAATTCTGGATAACTATTTCCTAATATAAAATAATTCTTTTGGGATTTATTAAATTTAAAACTATGTAGTTTGCTATATTTTTATAGTGCCATACAGATGGAGTGTATAATATTCAGTAAAACAATATCTGAAAATATTAGAGGTCGTATAGGCTAACTATCACCATTTGTTCTTTAATTCTGATAAGAAATTGGTGTAGCATATCTTCTACATTAGGCAAATAGATTCTTTAATACCGTTGCAAACCTGCTACAATGTGAATTTGGTCAACTGATATTTTTGTCAGTTCTGAAATACATAAATAAATATTGCTCGATTTTTTTATAATAAGAGTAAAGGTTAACAAAAAAAAACTAATTACGAAAGAAGAGTTAATATAGCAGACCATCTAACCGATATTGTTGTTTTATTTTAAATTAAAGTTATTAGCATTTGGTATTGCTCTTTGTTGAAAAATATTTTGTGAGTGGTATACTATATGTTAATATATGTTAATAAAAAGCCTTAAAAAATTATTTTACTTTATTTTTTTTTGTATTTTTACAGCAGTTTAGAGCTAACAGTAACTTTGATAAATTTCGTATATACAATTTAAAAATTGGTATAAGGATTAATGAACTAATTCCGAAGTTGTTTAAAATATACATACATTAGTGATTTCCATCCATTGTAAAAATGAATGGAAATGAATGAATAAATGGCCTCTGTTGAAGTTTATTAGGCTCATAAATTTAAATAAAGGTTCTTGTAACCGACTGATAATCTTTTATTTTATAATGGAAGATTTCTCTATTAGGCAGTATCATTAGATTATATCATAATTTTTTGTGGTGTCATCGGCTTCAACTGCTAAGGTTATTTCGCCTCGTGTTCTGTGTAGGCTTTGTTACTGTTTCCCAGTGCCACTTTAGGAACAGCACTATTAATTAGAACCCAACAGTGAATGGTCGAGTGGGGAAGCCTACCAAGGCATCAGAATTAATTTTAAATAATTAAATTATTTATCGAAAAGCCAAACGTAGTTTAAATGACATTTCAAGACTTTCCGAACCGTAGGATGTTTTAGCCATTTTGCAAAGAAATTGCAGTGTTCTGGTCCTATTAGGTAAATCCAAATTTTGGGTTTAAAACATTTTTAATAAGAGCTCAAATACATAGATTTTAATTTAAACAACAAAATATCAGTGCGTATTTTCCCGAGCTAAGTGATAAACCTACACACGAAGCGGCGTTCCCAAATTATTATTAATTCAGTGACATATTTACATTATTATTAACGTTAGTCAAAGATTTTTTACAGTTTCTTTTATTATTCTATATACCTTCTATCAATCACCTGTAACTTCCACCTCTTACATTACCGAAAATTGTAGTTTATCTTATCTTTCATTATGGTACATATTCAGTTTGTTATGTAACTGAATTCAGACCAACTATAACATTTTGTTTCATGTAACCGCTGAAAATTGATTTGTCTACAGGAATATCGAACAGTATAAACCACCAACTATATAATTATTATAAAATGTAAACAAATAACGAAAAACTCAAAATAAACCATGTCAACAATAATGAAAAATATTAACAGCTAACTATACATTTTTTAATTGCACTGAATCAGATTTGATAATATTCTGGAGTATAATCGTTCGCTAAGTTACTTAAAAAATTAAAATCAGACGAACTGTTACTACTCTCTCCCGGAATCGCACCTTGGCTTTGATTCTCGCCTGAGTAAAACTGATGAAAATTGTTATAGTTTTCGTTATTTTCCGTAGGAACACTAGCCGGTGGTGTCATTATTCCAGCTGTAGTGTTGTTTGTTGCTGGGAAAACTTCTGGTGACATGTTGTAACCCGGATCAACACCTGAAAAAAATCACAAGTAAGAAAACGGGAATCACTTAATAAATATGTTTAAAAAGCAATCGTAAAATAATATTAGAAGTCCGTAACTTTAAATTGAAACTTTATATCTAAAGAGGCTAACAACGTGAACCATGGTATAAAGGAACCGCTTGCCTCTAGCCTCTAGCCTATACTATATGTTGTAACTAGTTAAATGTTTTTTTCTTTATAATATTGACTATATTATATATGAAATTTCCTTGCGTATCCTACTCACTGTTTAACCCTATACAACTTATATTACTTAAGTCAGCATTATTGGTTGTATAGATAGAAAATTGTTATTAATACACACCGCTTTTTGTTAGGTTATGACGGATAGTTATGCATCTTGATAGTGTAACGTTAAACATTTAAAAAACTTTGCTAACGTTTGTTTTTTTAATGTTGAATTTACCAAATTGATCTAAAATTGTCTTATTATTTGTTGTGATACCTTATAACTTTTAGTAGGTATGAATAGTACAGTGTGAGTTGCTGTGTATAAAGTTTGGCCTTTGCTCAAAAAGCCTTTATTATTGGACTAATGTAGGATAATGGTCCAGGTAGTGTTTTTAAAAAACTACCCCAAAACCGTTTCTATAGGTACACTTTTTTAAGTTTTTTATTATTTTATGGAATACCATTGATTTTTCAAAAAACAAACAAGAGTACCATTTTAAAGAGCATACAATTTCCTATATTTTAATGTATCACTTGTTAAATTCGTAAAACTACTCCAAAATAATTGTCAAAGCTGTGTTCTCATTATAGTATCAGAAAAAATGATGTAACTTAACGAAAGAACACTTAAAATACACATTTTTATATAAATAATTATTTATTAAGAAAATAAAGTTACATAATTTAAAAAAATTACCTTAAGCGTTGTCTGAATACAGAGAACGACTTAAGCTAAGATTTTAAACATACACATTTGCACCGGAAAGTTTATTTTTTTTACAACTGCTATATTTAGAGTAACCTTCTTGAAGCTATATTTAATTAGTTCCTCACAATCTTTAGTGATCTGGGGAATGGATATCCATTTTGGGATAAATTTGTTCTCAGAAGATTTTAGCCAGCCACAACCACATATGGATCTGGAGCATCAATCAGTGATTAATTAGCAGTACAAAGCTCTTTTACAAGTTTTAATGCCTAGGTTAAAATTTTGTACCAATAAAATAAATTAATAAAATATATAATATATAAAATAATCTTTAAATTTTAATTTTTGTGACATTTTGAACGCGTTTTTCTAGATTCTGTTTCACGAGCAAATTCATCAAAAGGCATATTATCTACATTTTTCTGTATCCTTTGTAATTGTAGCTTAATAAACACCTAGTTATATTTCTTTAGCTTGTATAACACACATTTTTAATTCTTGTTACATTGCATTTGAATAATTAATCAATTCGCCAATAGCTGTTTGTTTTTCTTGTACTTTCTGGTGAATATTTATAGAAATTTGATTTGAAATTTGAAATATTATATACTTTATTGAGTTAAGTAAAAAGGCATCTTACGTTGGTGGGATGGTTTCCGGGTTGTTACTGCGGTAAAAAATATCTCCTCTCTTAGCCGATTTTTCACCGAAAATTTTAACAAAGAAAGTTTAGAATATGCTAAATATTGGTGAGTTTAATTCAAGAGTTGTAAATGGTTTATTTAAGATTTCATACATTGAAGATACAACAGAATTTCCTGCTCTTTGTAACGCCAGGAATGCGTTGTTATCTCCTGCTCATTAAATATATGGATTCATATCCTGTCAGGATTGTATAAAGAAAATCAAAGCAATTTAATGGTTTTTGGTCCTTTCTGGTTCCTAGTCACATATATATTGAACAATCAGGTAATAGTATAAGATCCGGGGGCTGATTTCTGCGGTGATCTTTATTTTTAATGAAACCTAATTTAAATGAATGACCGATAACAATATAATATATTGCCGTCAGTTTGCCTATCAAAATATCAAAATAATAATTATTTAATAATGTAAAATCAATGTCAATTTTATTGTCTTCGTTAAAAGAAACGTCAAAAATTATAACGCTTTACCTACTAATTTTTGTTTCATTTACTTTGAGAAGGCATTTAATGTGCTTACTGCTTTTTCTATTAAATATTCAATATTCAATATTACGCCTACGTGAACGTCATTTGTGCCTACCAAATTTCAACAAAATATCAAAAGTAGTTTCAATGAACTTAAGAAAAAAATTTGCTCAAAAATAAACGAGGATTCTTAAAAATAATTTTGGTTCTTAGAAAAAGCAGTGGCGTAACATTTTTTTCTTTAAAACTATTCAGTTCAAACCCCGTACGGATGTCACTGGTAAAAATTTAAAAAAGTCGCGAACGTCAAATAATGCTGCTTATTGATTAAAAGGTGTGTACAAAATTTCATCAAAATATCAGGAGTGAAAGAAAATGATGAAAAAAAATTTGTTTTTCTCAAAACTGTAACACCCTGTAGCCTGTAGCTAAAAAGTTTACGACATATGTTAATATTGACTACTCTTTTTAAAATTACCCGAGTCATACCCTTAAGTATCGGCACTTAGTTATTAAACACCCTGTATATACCAATCGATAGGAAATTTTATGTTCTATAAATCAATACTCTTGTTTTTTTTTGACATGTGGAAAAAATCCAGAAAACCAAAAATGTACCTTTGGGGTGGTTTTGGGTGGTTTTAGTTGGTTTTGGGTGATTCTAGGGTGGCTTAAGGGGTGGTTTTGGAGTGGTTTTGCGGTGATTTTATGGTGGTTTTCGGAGTAGCTTTCTCAAGAAGATACATGTGCCCTTAGCCTACGTTTATTTTTAATCCCCCATTAAACACTTTTTAAGTAAAGGCCAAACTCACAACCCATTTTTGATTGGGAATTCATAACTACTATTTATCTTTGCTTATTATTTATAACCCTCGTCATAATATAACTAGGTCCCCAAATATTTTGTTTTACGAATAGATTCTGGGTGTTACATTTAGTAAGGAACAGTCTGGAAAGGAGAGGAGGTAGTCGAAATGTCGATAACTTTTTTAAATTGCGTTCCGTTACTAAGACGGTGATTCACTATTGAGGCTATTTTTTGGTAAAATATATTCACTAGACTAGTCCTGTGGTATACGATTTTTTTTCATTTATTGCCTTTAAAATCATTAATTATTCGAGATAAAATAAAAAAATATGAGAAAAAGTTTATTAGAATCTAATCCTATACTACTTTTAATAAGCTCATTTTTCATTAAAAAAAATGTTTACGAAACCACTTCTGCATCATGCCTAATTGGTGTCGTATATTGCACTATAACTCGTTAAGAGTTAGAGCTACAAAATAAAATTTATTGAAAAGTTGTTTACAGTTGAACTATTCTAAAAAAAATATGTTTATAAAACGACCCTTATAGCACAATTCGTACTGGGAGTTCAAGTAGTGTGATCGTTTGTTGTTTACTCAGGAGACAGTTCTTAAGCAACCCTGATAAAATTCTGTTTTGAATTTATTTTTGCGACACCTACAGGCCGAGCACATCTTTTTTGGATTTTAATAAAGTTATAGACTAAGAGTCAGACCTATGTTATAGTATAAAGGTTAGATTTTTGATCAAAAAATCTTAACCTTCATACTATAACGTAGGTCTGGCGGTCGCTGGCTCTTAATCTAATAACCAAGAATTATGGAAATCTTTCTCCAATATTCTCTTGTTTCATTCTTCAAAGATTAAAACAACAAGGAGTTCTTAAAATGGTATAAGAAAGTGAATTTAATACCCTTTATAGCAAAACGGGATGGAAACAACATCAAATAAACCAAGTTAGAGAATTATTTTGGGAGCCTGGAAGCCAAGAAGCCATGGGCTATTTGGACCTCTAGAAGAGTGTTTACAATATTTAAATTTAAACGAAATGGTAATAAATACCGTAAATACCGGCCTGTACCACCTACTTTTCAAGATATTTTACTAATTAACGTTAAAAATTGTAAACAATACTCACAGAATTCGAATGTTGATCTCTTATATATTCATTATTTAGCTCAATGAAAAAACATCAATCAAACACCTTTGCTTCACAGACGGTCTAGAAGAAATAAAAGAAATAGTAAATGAACTCGGCACATCATGGTCAAAGATGGATTTCCAAAAATGGATGAAAAAGCTAATAATACTTCAAATGTAATAAAATAGAACCAGCGTAAAATAGATGAGGTTAATAAAAGATGATATTAACTCATGTGTATAATAACATCTTGAGCCCAAATATAAACAAAACTGGGACAGTCAATTTAAACTGTTCTTAAAGATTTAGGAATATTATCGATGTTCTTGAAATAATCATAAACTTGCAGGTTTAATCAAAGTAAAAGATATGCGTGGATCATTGACTTGAATCTAGATTTTCGATTTTCGAAGATTACGGAGTCCAAATCACCCGATGGCTGGGATTTTGGCTAATTAATTTAATTAGTAAAAAAAAAAAACTAATTCAAATGGATAGATATTAACGACCCATTCGACTATTTACTAATAAAGTGGCGCTAAGAAACAATCGCAAAGCCTTCCTCATAACGCTCATTAATGCATAAATCAATAAATCATATTTACACTGATTGGGTAGATATTACCAACGTTATAATGCTAGAAAGAAACATTAAAACTATAATCGTCTTTAATTACAACAATGAAAAGTCGGCTAGTATAAATCAATGAAACAAAAAAAGAAGTTCTTGAAAATATTAACCGTAGACACAGTTCTTGAAAATATTAAAAATACAAACAAACAAAACTCTATATAGGTATATTCATACATATAATGACGTCAAATAAAAAAAGAAACAAATGTTTAAAAAAATAATGCTATTTGTATGTAAAAGCAAAACTACAAAGGACAGAAGCACAGTTTTTATTAAGTTGTTCGAATAGTTTATATTATTTAAAATTGTGGTTTTCCAAGAAGAAGAAAAATCAAATCACTATAGACTACTTTCAAACAACTAGAAAATATCGTAGGAATTCAAAAATTTCAGATGCTATTTTAATTTTAAATATAATCGGAATTAAAAAAAGGATGTAATTTGTACACACTTGCTCAAATACTTGACTATATTATATCTTATTTTAGGTTATCCTAAACAATCTCAAGAGCAGGCAGTTTCTTTAGTATTGAATAATGTGCTATAACTAAATCATTTATTTTTGTCAATTTTTAAAGCCAATAGCAACAAACTAGGATATTAAATTTAAAGGAATACAATTATAATTACCAATATTACCAAGGGTAAAATTATAAGTGGTACGATTATTACCGAAAATGTTTGGAATGTCACTAATGTCAGTTCCAAAGATGAAAATGCAACAAATGCGAGCACGAGTCCTATTTTCCAATTTCCAATGATTGAGATTATGTATTGGAATTTGTTGTATTATGACATATAATGTTGTATAATGATATATTGTTGAATGTTGTATATTGTTAGATATTGTTGTATATTGTTAGATATTGTTGTATATTGTTGTATATTGTTGTATATTGTTGTATATTGTTGTATATTGTTGTATATTGTTGTTTATTGTTGTATATTGTTGTATATTGTTGTATATTGTTGTATATTGTTGTATATTGTTGCATATTGTTGTATATTGTTGTATATTGTTGTATATTGTTGTATATTGTTGTATATTGTTGTATATTGTTGTATATTGTTGTATATTGTTGTATATTGTTGTATATTGTTGTATATTGTTGTATATTGTTGTATATTGTTGTATATTGTTGTATATTGTTGTATATTGTCGTATATTGTCGTATATTGTTGTATATTGTTGTATATTGTTGTATATTGTTGTATATTGTTGTATATTGTTGTATATTGTTGTATATTGTTGTATATTGTTGTATATTGTTGTATATTTTTGTATATTGTTGTATATTGTTGTATATTGTTGTATATTGTTGTATATTTTTGTATATTGTTGTATATTGTTGTATATTGTTGTATATTGTTGTATATTGTTGTATATTGTTGTATATTGTTGTATATTGTTGTATATTGTTGTATATTGTTGTATATTGTTGTATATTGTTGTATATTGTTGTATATTGTTGTATATTGTTGTATATTGTTGTATATTGTTGTATATTGTTGTATATTGTTGTATATTGTATATTGTTGTATATTATTGTATATTGTTGTTTATTGTTGTATACTGTTGCATAATGTATAATGTTGTATTATATTGTATAATCTTGTCTAATGTTGTATAATATTGTATAATGTTTAATGTTATATAATGTATAATGTTGTATAATGTTGTATAATGTTGTATAATGTTGTATAATGTTGTATAATGTTGTATTACGTTGTATAATGTTGTATAATGTTGTATAATGTTGTATAATGTTGTATAATGTTGTATAATGTTGTATAATGTTGTATAATGTTGTATAATGTTGTATAATGTTGTATAATGTTGTATAATGTTGTATAATGTTGTGTAAGGTTGTTTAATGTTGTATAATGTTGTTTAATGTTTTATAATGTTATTTTGTGTTGTATACTGTATAGTAATATACAGTGTCGACTATTGAACGTATTCCAATACGGCTTGCATTGGTGAATGTGAAAACAAATGAGGAAGAGAGTAACATCAGCTTTGCCAGTTTTTCGGCCCGCTCGCGTTGTAATGGTGACCAAGCTGGTAATGCAGATGTAATGCGTTTCCTGCTTGAATAAGTACTCTCTGTAGTTTTCACATGCACTTGTGCAAACCATATAAGAAAGCGTTCAATAGTATAATAAATAACAAAATTGCATTATATTGTATAAAGTTGTACGAATGTATAATGATGTATATTGAAGTTCTCCAATAAAATGAATAACGGCATTATTCATTTTTTGATAACCATTTTTAATAAAAATAATATTTAAAAATATTACTAACATTTAACAGGACTTGAAACATACCTGTAGCTGCACCTTGTGGTAAGTGATTAGAAGGATAATTGTTTTCATAATAGCCAACTTTTGATGGATATTCCGCAGGAGTTTGATGTTTATTAACAGGAATAACTGCGTCTGAAGGATAATAATTTCCTGTATGTTCATGGTTTACTTGAACCGAATTATGCATGTGATTGACCTCGCTACCATCATTACTATAACCGTATCCATAGTGATTATACCCAGAATGCTCTCCGTAACCTTGGTTATAGTTATTTTGCCCCATCGTATACTTTTCAACAGCACCTTGGTTATTGTAATAATATTGTTGTTGGTTTGAATATCCAGCATAAGCTTGTCTTCTATTGTTGATTTTAACATGTCCCAAATTAGCGGAATGGTTTTGCGTCCTTTGGTAGGCGTGGGTGTCGTTTATGATTGGATGCTCTGGATTGTACATATCTGCTGAGTAAATTTGAGACATCTGGTAATGTTTTGATCTATTGTCAGAGCGGTGGTAGTCAGATTGACTATTGTTCATGTTGTACTGATTTGGGAAGTGATTCGAGGTTACACCCCTAGAGGCAAATGGTGGAATGGCATTTGGAATATTTTGGATTGTTACTGTTGCTGAAGCTATTGCCGTTGCTGTTGTCGGAGAGGACCGTGGAGCTTGTTGGTATACCATGCTATTAGGCAAACCTACAAAAAAATAAACTATTAAATAAAGTTTGTGTTTCAGTAAATATTCGAACTATTTTTTTTTTAATAGCGTAGATATTTTAAATATAGCATAATACTCACTTAGGGGTCCTGTAGGTATTACCGGCGTTCCCGGCGTACTCTTAGGTGAGGACTTCGTAGAAATATTTTCAATACTATTAATTCCGATACCAATGTCTTTACTATGACTAGGACTTGGCGAAACTTTTCTTATTCCTATTTTTCTATCACATGAGTTGGGAGAGTTTCGTCTGCCTTCTATTTTAACCACAACATTATTCGCTACCGTTGTCTTCTTGGAAATCCTCGGAGAAGTTTGGGATCCACTTCCTTCGTTCGACCTTGAATCTTCTTCATTCATTAATTTGTCAAAACTACCTGGAAATAGAAAAATTGAATCAGGAGGGTGAGCTACTTACAGATTATGAGTAGGCAAGGAAATTTGATACTGTACTAACATTTTGTTTTTCTTTAAGTAGCGAATATATGGGTGGTAGAAATAAACAAGGGAAGAAAAAAAATTAAGAAAAATTGGTGATAAACTTATTAAGAGGAAAATTGGTGTCTAGAAAAACCGAAAATTATCATAAACAATAAAAATTAGGAAAGGTTAAGAATATGTATGTGTATTTTTGTCATATTGTTGTAAACATATAGTTTTTAAAAAGGTAAATTGCAGATTTCATTAGAGAAATTTTCCAAGAATGACGTTACTCTTGGTAATCAAAAACAAAGTTAGAGTGATAAAATTAAATTTCTAACGCTGCTGTTTTTCTTTGTATATAATTTAATGTCTGTTTCGATGTAGCTCGTTTAAGTTTATGATACATGTCTCAGCAAATTTCTTCTTTTTATTGATTTTACACTAGTGGCGGCTTGTGACCAATATATTGGCGGTTCAGAATGTAGATCTCAATATAGATGTAGGTGAAAAACTTTCAGTGTTTACCTCTTTATAAAATTTGACATGGATATTATCACTTCTGCAACGCCAACAAAACGGGAAAACAATTATATAACTCAAAAACTTCAACTTAGATGCCCTTTAGAAAATTGTGACGCTGTGTACAGAAAGAAGTGAAACATAATAAAGAGAGACCCTTTCATTGTACCATTGAAGAATGTAAAAAATCGTTTACTAAAGAGGCTAGTTTAAAACGTCATTTTAATGCATAAAAAATCAGAAGAACTAGCTTGTGATATCAAGGGGTTTGATTAACAACAACAAATACTGTTTCAAGAAACATAAAAATAAAGTCCATAATGCTTTAAAGTGGCCATTCTTTAGCAATGAATGTTGCATAGGGTTTAAGAAAAGGGTGGCAGCTTAATCAGCATAATTATAAACATACTGGGGAACCTCCATTTAAGTAAGTTTATGATAATTATGATAGGACTATTATCACCGATAGACAGGTGACGAATAACAGGCTTGATATCGTGCTGGTGGATAAAAATAGTCAAACCCGTACTTCTGGTAGATGTCGCGGGTACACACAACAACATTTTGTTAAAACATCAAGAGAAAAAGCCAAATATGGCTTTTGAAATAAGACAGATGTGATACGCCAAAAAAGTGGAGGTAGTACGGCTTATAGTATCATCTGCGGATCTTATCCAAAAAACACTGCAAGAAGGTCTATATCAACTGAAAATTCTTGCCAGCACCTTTATCGATATACAGAAGGCGGTAATTCTGAATAATTGCCACACTGTACATAAATTCCTAAAATAGTGAGTAGCAAGGTCTCCCCCATTAGTAGCAATACCAGGGATGAGTCAAAATTCCAGTAACCACTTAGTAAATATAAAATAACAATAATAATAAAATATAATTAAAAACTATAATCCCAATTGTACCACTTACTTATTGTAATAATTTCTTTAAAGTACAGGTACATAATTTTCAGATACTCTGTAGACCTGAAAGTGTTCCTCTAAGAAAAGGTCTAAATGATGATTAATCTTACCTGCACTGCCGATACTACTTGCACCATTGCTATTGTTATTGAAATTTGTATTATTGTTAGTAGCACTAGGGGTGTTATTGTTGTTGCCTCTGTTTGAAGCAACTTCAGTTATTTCTTCGTGAGAATTGCACAAACCCACCGTTGGCATTTCGCAACCTTGGCAGCTCTTCTTTGACATTTCTTCTTCGAGGAACTTGTCAGAGAGTTTTGTGCTTTTGCCGCTGTCGCTTGTTACCGAATCCTTGTCATCGCCATCTTCTCCTGTTTTGCCTAATGTTTGCCTTTTGTGTTTCATTCTTCTGTTTTGGAACCATACTTTTACCTGTAAGTATGATATTAAAAGTTAATAAAAGAAAACTATTAAAACTGTTATTATGTTGGTATTTGTTTAAAGTATAAATATAACTTAATTTTTTTCTAAAGTAGGCCTACAGGAAAAAAATTAAGAGAGTCGTAGTGTAGTTTGGATTTAATTTAGAAGCGTGGGTAATTATCGTGTGGCAAAGCAAAAAGGAATAAACAAATCTTTTATTTTTTCATATAATAAATTTTAGGAAAAATATACCGAATGAACCAATATTTTATTTTTTCTCATAAAATGTTTTGAGGGTAATATAGCAAAGTTTTTACCGGTATCTAGGCAGACTTCTGAACAAAAGGAATTAAATGAAAAATGATTCTTGAAACAGTATATAAAAATACTTGAATTAATTCGAAGATATCGTTTAACTTTGTTATGACTAAAACGTGCACTTTTTTTATGTATTTTTGTAAATTATAATATACAATGTCGGCTACTGAACTTTTTCCAGTACGCGTTGTACAAGTGCATGTAAAAACTACAGAGAGTAGTAGCGTCTGCAGGAAACGAACAATATCAGCATTTCCACTTTATACAGCCCGACCGCATTGTAACGTTGGCCAGGTCACATTAACTGACATCGCTGCTATTATTTGTTTTCTGCTTGATCTAATTCTAACTTTTTCACACGCACTTGTGCAAATGCGTATTGGAAAGTGTACTGTATAGAGATGAAAATATATTATTTGCCAATACTGCAAATAAATATGAGACTTTAAGATTATTTTCTCTGACAATTCCACTTAATGAAAAAGTACCTAAAATGTTCATCTGTCTAAACTGAAAGCACCTGTAATATTTTTCTTTCGTCAACTTATTATGATATCTCCAGATATCCTCTTTCTCGAAAGTTTCAAGTAATTTATGCTTTCAATGTACAACTTAAACTGACCAAACCTAGACAATTATGTATAGCTTCAATTTCTGTTAGTTTTCCTAGGTAGGCAGCTTTCGTACAAGAAGAAAAGAACAACACAAGATTATTTATTACTTTTTCAAGATAAAGCTTTCTCCACACAAAGCTTGTACAAAACTTTCTGTAAATTTTTTGGTTTGCTCTGTATCTCCAAAACTGTACCCATATATGCTTTTTACTGGGTTCATGATGGGCCACTTGCTGGGCCTCTATCACCCCGATGGAAAATACCCGTCTTCCTATTGGTTGTGTTAAGTTGATTTTTATTTAGCACAACGTATAGTAATAGTATATTACATTACGAGTGTGGAAAATCACTTTTCACACAAGTGATGTACAATATTTTTCCTACGTTCACAAAATAATTTAATCAAAAAATGTAAAACCAGGTTATTATTATAATAATTAAAATGTATTTAAAAAAATATTCAACAATAATCGTATTTATTTCATTTTCATATCTTCTAAACAAAAAAACTAAAAAAAAAATCTGCCCGCAAGGATTTAAGCGCGGTCGCTCGGCAGGTCACAAATGGCAAAGTTGATAAAGTTTGATAATTTACCACCTGAGCTAATAGGCTAATAGTCAATTGAATGATCTAATGGTTATGTGTTTAACCAGAATAAAAAGCAAACATAACTTGGTTATTTTAAAATTATTTTAATAATAATTGTTAAAGATAAATATCTAGGATCTAATTTACAACAATTTCAATAATTTAACAATATTATCTATTTTAGTATTAATATTCGTACATGGGTGGAAAGTAAATTCTTATTCATACGCGTGTGATATAGGTCACTTTCCATACGACTATATATTGCTCACAATTTTTACAATATTTACAATTGTTTTACAAATATTTCTAATGTAAAAATTATAATAATGAAGGTCTTGATTGTTTTTATTACAACATTATACAGAATTATTATTACAAACGGTTTATTAATGAAAACAAAAGGCGAAGTTCACTTTCCAAAGTTTAAAAAATCTTGGAAAATGTTCTTCCACTTAACCCAATGATGGTGTTTATATGTAAATACGAGTATATGCACTAATTCCAAACATATTGAAAACTCAAAAATGAAAATAAAAAAAAAAGGATATCTTTATATTTTTATATTTTAGAGGGAATACGTAGAACAATTACGATTATATGCTATTGTAACGTTTTTATTTTATTTTTTAACTAATTTATGTATTACATTTACTTTATTAATATACAGGGCGAGTCATAAGTAATGAGTTAAATTGCAACTGTAGATTCGGAAGGCTGATCTACTGATCTACATCGTTAAAGTTGGAAAAAAAATATTTTTGTTAATAAAGAAGCCATTTGTTTGAAATATAGGTTTGAAAATTGGGGTAGTTCTATTTTTTATAGGGACAAACAAGATTATGTTATTAGATTGGAGTTATCTCGTAGATGTCGCCACATACGCCATATTGAAGAGAAGAAAACAGCTTAAAATTTTTTGTCCCTCATTAATTAACAATTTACGTATTAAATTTAAAAATGCTTATCATTTTTGTATGAAAAAAATTTACTTCTTTGATCTTTAAAATATTAACCGTTTTCGAGATATTTGAAAGTTTGTAGTTCACTACCTGGTCGCTGGTAACCACAAAATATAATATTCCCCTAATTGAAATCAATTCATTAAAAACCGTTTAAATGATAATTAATATTGTATTCTCATATTTCTAAGTAAGCCAAAAATAGTATTTGGGGTGTTTTAAAACGTTGGTTGTTCCTAAAATTAATTTTATTTTGAGATAGTTTGTATTTATTTTATGAAAATATTAGATGGTAATGAAACAAAAATTAGGAAACAATACTACAAAATTATTTGTTTATTTGAACGAAACGTATGCTGCTTAACAGACCAATAATAAAGATAACAAATTTTGGTATTTTAACCTCAAAATAAAGAAAAAATTATAAAACACTTGAACAAGAACCATAACAACAACATTCCTTAACTAAAACGAATTTTCCTAAAACATGCATCCCACATAATCTTCAGATATTGTTAACATTCAAGTTAAAATACTAAATGCTACAAAAGATTTTCAACATGGCCACCACCAACTCTTATACACCTCTGTACCCGTTTACTTAAGGATCGTCTGATCTACAACTATATTCCATAACTCGTCTATGGAATTTATAGACGGAGAATTCATGTAACCCCACACATAAAAATCGGGTGGCACAAAATTGACCGAATACATTTGATCGAAAGCATTTGATCGAATGCATTTGATCGAAAAAACATTTTATCGAATAACAATTGATCGAAAAGAAAAATGATCGAACAAAAAAATGATCGAAAAGAAAATTGTTCGAAAAGAAAATTGATCGAAAAGAAAATTGATCGAAAATAGATTTGATAGAAAAAGCAATTGATCGTGAAACCAAATATTCATGAAATTATAGAATAATAAGAAAAATGAAAACAAAAATTTTAACTAATTTACCTAACCTGTGGGGCCTAGAATCATCGCTGGTTGCTTCGCAAAAACAAAAAATGAAAAATAAGATAAAGTTAAGTAACGTACCTAACTAACCCAACTTGTGCGAGAGCAATCAGTTAAATTTAAATAGCACAGGTTAGGTAAATTAGTTTTTTTATTTTTATAATTTTTTTGCGAGGCAAACCGCGACGTTTTCAGACTGGAGCAATTTAACTAATTGCTTTGATACAGGTTAGGTAAGTTAGTTAAGTTTTATTAAAATAAATAAAAATAAAGAAAACCTAACTAATTTACCTAACCTGTGCGGCCTGGGGCAATTTAACTGATTGTTCTGAAAGAGCTTAGGTAAGTTAGTAAGGTTTTTTAAAAACTTAACTAAGTTACTTAAAACTTAACTAACCTACCTAATATGTGTCAGAGCAATCAGTCAAATTGTTCCAGGCCGCACAAGTTAGCTAAATTAGTTAAAGTTTTTGTTTTCAGTGTTCTAATTTTCCTATATTTTTTTTGTGAGGATAACCGCGTAGGATCCAGGCCGCACAGGTCAAATAAATTAATTAAATTTTTTATAATAAAAAAAACTAAACTAACTTACCTTACGTAAACGAGAGCAATCAGTTAAATTTAAATAGCGCAGGTTAGGTAAATTAAGTAAGTTTTTATTTTTCCCTTTTTTGTATTAATTTTTTTTGCGAAGCAACCCTCGAGGGCTCCAGGCCGCACAGGTTAGGTAAATTATTTAAAATTTTTGTTTGAATAATTTCTTATTTTTCTATATTTTTTTGCGAGGCAAACCGCGACGGCTCCAGGTCGCACAGGTTAGGTAAATTAATTAAATTTTTTATATAAATAAATCTTAAAATAATTTACCTAAAATGTCCCATCAGAAGACAACTCGACCTTATTGAAATACATATTTTGTGGGAATTAATCACATTTTTTTAATCCAAATGAAGATAAATAACCGTTTAGCTCTAAAATAATTATTTTTAAATTAACAGTATTGTAAGCATAAAATTTGTTAAACGAGGTAGCTATCATTTGAGAATATTGAAAAATTTGCCATCAATGATCAATTTTGATAGCCGCTTATTTTAGTTTCCCTGGTAGTAGGGATAGACGGACGATTAAATGGTATCGTTTGATTTTTTTATATTTTACTATTTTTCATGTTGATTTTCAATATATTGTCCTTTCGATCTAATGAATTTTCGATCTATTGTCTTTTCGATAAAATGTTATTCGATAAAATGTATCTTCGATCAAATGTTATTCGACCAAATGTATTTTCGATGAAATTCCATTCGATAAAATGTATTTTCGATCAAATTTCCAATTCGATCAAATGTTTTTCGATCAATTTTGTACTACCCATAAAAATCCAGTGGATTAAAGTCGGGCCTGCGAGGTGGCCATTGAAATTCACTACCACGAACAATCCAAAGGTGACGGAAAGTTTGATTCAGGTAATTACGTACAACCAGTGAAAAATGTGGAGGTGCACCATCCTGCATGAACCACATTTTTCTTCTTCATTGTAATGGAAGATCATCCAAACTATCGTTT